ACAAAAAACAAAAAAAAATCGAACCTTGGTACCGGAACCGGCGTTATCAATGAAGGAGTATCATTCAGACCCGCTAGATTGTCCTTTCGCATCAATGGCGAATCAGCGCCTCTCAGATGCACATTTCTCATCGACATCGAACCTGGGGAAAGTGCTCGTTGAGGAGGTGCAGGATTGGCCTCTGAGTACGGTCGTTGTAAGGGTGAAAATCCTGCGATTGGCTGAGCTGCAACAGCCTGTCCGGCAATGGTTGCTGATATTTGTTGCTGAGCATTTTGTGGAGAGTACTGTTGGTCGCCCTTAACACAACCTTTGAACGAATAAGGGCGTTGATTGTGAAGTTACCTGGAATGTCTGCGATTCTGCCCATTGTGACACCGACTCATTTGCCGGTATTGGACGAAACATGGCTTCAGGGGGTGCTGCTCGATCTTGTAACTGAAAGCAGGGACGGTGTCTGATTTGAGATTGCCATTAACAGCTCATTATCTCACTTGTGCAGCGAGTGCAGCCAATTGTTTCGCGCGGCGATAACGACGCCGCTGAGATTTGTTCGCTGCCGTTCCATTGTGATGCTTGAGAATATGCTCCTGCAAAAAGTTAACTTGACCCATGGAAGATGGCGCTTCCCTCGAAAATGCATTCGAACAACTTTTAGAGAGAAGTTCTCGTCATATGCGAATTCCCATCTCAAGATACTATGGCTGCATGAAATCCTGCACAAAAATATATGAAACTTACCTTAAGCTTATCCCGACGACTTGATGCGTAATCACATGCATCACATTTGAATGGCTTATCCTCTAGATGAATGCGTTCATGCCGAACCAAATGAGACTTCTCGATAAAACCTCTGCCACAAATCTGAACTTTTCTATGTACTACAGACCAAAAAAAGTTAAGAGCAGAACTAAGAATTGAAAGAAACTGACCTTACACATGTGAGCTCTCACAGCCATATGCGTCCGAAGATGGGCAGCCAACTGACTCTTTTTCGGTGATGAGTAATCACATCCTTCTGCAAGAAAGAACAGCTTTATAAGGACAGCAAGCTTACCATTTCCGATACTTTTTGTAATTTACGAAGCTTCTCTTACCAATGTGACAGTAGAACATATCTCCTGTATGCTGTCTCCGATGTGTAGTCATGTGATCAGAGTTAGCAGTAGCAAATCCGCAATCCTCGCAGATGAAGGACCTGCAGACAAAATTCAAATTTCAGCGAGTAAAAGGAAAAGCCAGTGGAATTATGAAAGTTTTGGAGGAAAAAACTTACTGTTAACGAGAGCACGGATAATGACAATGAAGTAGGGATCTTAACCAACTCACCTTGGTTCATCGTGGGTAGAAAAATGCATTTCCAAAGCAGTATGCGTATTAAATCCTCGTCCACATTCCTCACAATGCAAGGGTCGCTCATCTAAGCTGCTATGCATTCTTTCATGCGCCCACAACTGAGTGCGGGATCTAGCTCGGAAGCCACATTCAAGACATTTGAAGAATCTTTCAGATGCTGAAAACGTCAAAATTATATGATTGCTCGAATTGACTTCACGCGAAAAACGTACTGTGTGACAAGCGATGAGCAAGCAGTTCTTGTAGACTATCTTTGGACTCAAATGGGCATTGGTCGCAAGTGTATGGAGGCTGCGCCTGAACAAACAGTTTTACCTTTTCGCTACTCCTTAAAAAATTTGCTAACCCAGTGCTCTTTGCAGTGCTCATAGAAAGATTTACTCCAGATACATTCGAAATCGCATAGCTGACACATATATCCAGTGTTACGATTATGCTGACGAGCGCGATGCTTCTCCACCTCCTGGATGATGAAAAATTATCAACACGGCAAAAAAA